ACAGCACATAACAGAACACCATCCCAACACCAAATTATCAACCAGTATATTTGCACATTAAGCGGGTGCAACTATAATATATTGAAAAATCACAGAGCCACAAATGCAATTAAAGGAGTCGCGACGATATGACTTCCACAGCGCCCTCGAAATATATGTCAGGTATGAAGTACAGTAAAAGTTCCTGGAGGTTAAATGAAATATGAGGGGTACTGCACAAAAAGCTGAGAACAATTGCATTTCACATAATATACAAACTACTAGACATATAAATTTTCTAAAAAAGCAGGTTCCGCCACATACAATTTACTACACCACGGAATGTTTCATCCAGCCAAAGCCGAGTCATCTGTCTGAAATGAATACGATCAAAAGTACAAAACATTCTGATTTGAAAAAAAAAACTCCATGCTTGTGGCTAGATAGTATAATGGTTGAATAACCGATTAGAAATCTCGATCCCATTCGTTGGTTAATGGCAGAACTATTGACTTGAATTTAACTCATGCTAAACAATTACGGCTCCGCACACCAACGTCACCAAAAAACGCATTTAACAAAGATATGAATTTAATCTGAACTACTTCCTTTGAAAATGTAGTTGTGGGATTGGATGGATTATGAATCTGCCTAGAGAGTACCGCTCACTTGGGATTGCTCCGCTCATCGCGTATGAGCCCCCATCACCTGATTGAATTACACATTTTCTCCTGGTGTAGGGGCTTTTCTGAATCAATTTTATGAGGGATTCTCACGCATCAATCTCGTTGCACATTTCTCCATTGTTGATTTGCCTGAGGCCCCACCCGTCTCGAACTTGACCCGTCCTCTTCAGGCGCTTCTTCAGATGTTACCAAATTTCATGACAGATAGACAAAAGCCAGTTTTCACGCATAGTAAGTAACAAAAACGATTCTGTAGGTAGTATTGGTGACTCTATGGGATATAAGTTATGGTGGTGGCTTCATACACACTTTGAGCGGTTTCAAAACATTAAAAACGTCTTTGAAAAATGTTACGAATTTTTAAACTAGGCTCCACCCATCTTAGTGGTTGCCGCGTCCTCCTTGTGGACTTGATAATGTTCCTTCAATATCGTATCACATTTTTATTCCACATTCTAGAGCGTCTTTGAACGATGTTGTGAACTTTTGATCGTAATCCTTACGTTTTGAGGTTTTGAGGTATTCCTCTTAGAGCTTTCGAGCACTTTTTTCTGCATTCTAGAGCGTTCTTGAGCAGAGTCATATATTTCTTCGAAAAGGTACCTTATATACAAATGTACATCCCACCAACTTTCAGCTGGACCGCATTCGATGCCTTGAACATTCAAGGCCTTTCTCACTACTTTTATTTTTTATGGCCTCCTCTTGGTCTCCTTTTTTGAATCGTTGGCCTAATACCCGCCTTTGCTCATTTTACCCGGCTCTGGGCAGCCACGAAACCAAACTAGGAAATTTACCTGCCCGACTTCGATTCATGTCCCGTCCTGTGTGGGTGAAGCTTTCTTGCTTCCTTCTCCTTTAGTGTAATACTTTCACATATCACGGAGAGTAGTTTTCTCTGGATATTTTCTTGAAGATGGGCTGTACGCATACCTGTCGCAATCCAATCGACTTGACGACCTCATCGAACGCTTTTCCTACTTGGGAACGGTCTGCTCCTTGCATTGAACGGGCAACTTATAGACGAATCGTCCATATGGCCGCTTCTCCAGGTGTTTTGAGTTGAAGCTGGAAACACCCTTTATATAAAAAGCGGTGCGTTGTAGATGTACACTATAGAATTATGCTTCTGCCATTCTACAGTGGCTTTGTTTCCTCTCGATTACGTGAATAATTGCCCCACCAAGCTTAAAGCTGGGACCACCCGCGCAACAACTTGTTGATACACCTCAAACTTGGGAAACTACTTAAAGGCACTGTTAACGACTAAATGGTTTCGAAGATATGCACATGGTTAGAATTCTGAGCTCCCTCTGATAACATTTGTGCAGGAATTAGGTTGGAAAACGGCTGGATAGGGCACAATAAGGCCAGGAACAGTGGCGGACGCGATGCCTCCGCCCCTCGTTAGGCTGACTACGTGTTCAAATTGTCATTCACCACGTTCGCACTGGAGCGAAGCTGGTGAAAAATCGATACGCAGATTGGCAAATAGCCAGGAATGATCAGCTGGTCGACCGCCTCGTACAGGAGCTAGTATTCAACTGTTATTTCTATTTTATGTTTGTATTTCTATTGTTTTTTTTTTGTTATGAATTTTTTACGGTAGCATTCTTTAACTATTCTCGTAAATTTATTGAAGATTTCAACATATTTTGTGTAGATTATTGTATGCAAATGTTTTTTTTATTTAAGAAACTCCGTTAAATCGATGTGTTGTCTGTATTGCAGACACTGCGTCGCCTTCGTGCATTCTCGCTCGAACACTCCCTAACCGCCGTTTTCCAATGTGAAAGATGTCCAACCCCACTTTCTAGCACTTTTTTTGTCCCTTTGTAATACTTTTTGTTGCTCGTTTTTTTTTGCGCTTTTTCGTTGTTATCGCTTTATTCTGAAGTAGTTCTACCTATTACCGTCAAAAAAAGGGTACCCTTACTTTTTTGTTAACAGTGCCTTTAAGCCACCATACTTGCCATACTTGCTTGTTAATGGTAATGGTAATGATACAAAACGTTGCGACACCCGAAGACTACATATCTTTATCAAAACACTACAAAACTATGTGTGATCTGATGGTTAAGCCAATGGGTCTCACTGCAGCAGCAGAAACGGAGAGTGGATAAGGAGAGGAGAGCGGGATGTCTCAGATAGGAGCCTACATGTTCGCCTTTCACTTCAACTTAATGATGGCTCTTGGTTAACTCACCAAGAGAAAACACCAAGAGACAATATTAAACGCCAATTGGTTAGAAATCGTCTCTATGACCGGATATGCATCATGGATAACTGCGTGATTTGCTCATATGGAAAAGTGGGGGGCTGTGCACAACGAGCTGTGGTTAACCAACTTCAGTGTTTGACGTGTGATGCTTGCTATGTAGAGGCTTTCTAGTTAAGACACCGAAATCCAAGCATCAATAACAAGAATTAGTGCATCAACATAACTGGTGGCTCCCGCCTTATATCTCTCTGTGTGAGCTTTGATAGTAGAGACTGGTACGTGTCATGTCACGATACTATTAAAGAGTCGTGGTTGACCGGGCTGTCTCAATTGCTCTATAGTTCTCTAAAGTTGAGCAACTGTTCGGTGTTGGTGGAATTGACGTGAGTGCCTTGTTGGAATTTCTATTTAGTTGGAAGTTCATTAGCCTAAGTCGCAACTAGTTTAGGGCTGGTTTCCGTCAACGCGATAGGTAACACTCTGAATTCCGAAACGCTTTCAGGCCTTAATAAGGAAGAATTGGTCGAAACGTCAGGCGTATAAATGTTCCACCATAAAAAACATGTTTGACACGGAAGCATTGACCAACAATAGTCTCAGATAGGATTCTTCATCCGGCACGACACACTATGGAGCTTTCAAATGCCTAGAACGATCACCGAAGCTTCGAGTATCAGCTAGTTCCCACATGAGCTTGATCAACTGCTAAGATGATATTTTTTCGGCTTGTTGTTGCGGAGAGTTCTATTATAGTTCTAGACTCAGCGAGATTCAAAAAGATTTCCGAATGACAAGAATAGATAAAAGTTTCGTCTTAAGTGGATGTCTGCAAAAAGACAGTGAAAGTTGATCTGCAACAAAATTTTGATTAAAATAGAGAACGGGTTCCCTTTCGAAGATTTCTACGAAAATGCGTAAGTGATTTTGAAGTCTCACCCATTTTTTATCCGTATACGCAACGCTATTGCCCTTCTTCTTGTTATCGTAGAACAATACTCGTGACATCGGATGGGATCTTCCATCGAGACCCCGATGCATGGCTCGCACCTGGAAACGTTTTGGCTAATTTGTATTACCATTTGTGAGCTTGATGGTGGCATGAATACTAAGCTATAGTGCATACTGGCCTTTCCCAGGTGCTCATCGCTTTCGGCCCGAGCAGAGCAGCAAGAGGCTCATTATCCATTTATGAACTAGAGATTTTCGAAAAAAAATTTACTCACCAATACCATAAACTTCTCCTCATCGATGTTTTCGCCAAGTTCATCTTGGATCCGTCGCCTTATTAATCTCTACAAAAAAATCATGACAATTGAGAAATGTATGTAGAGGAAAGAAAAGAAATACTATACGCGGTCCTGCAGCAATACCCGACAAAGAATCTAGCAAAACAAATGTGAGAACCAGCGATTTCCGACTAATTCTGCTTGTGTTCCCATTTTAGTCACTTCTGGCTTATAGGCACCACTAACGAGGACACTATGATGACCAAGCAGCAATCAGGGTTAATACTATGTTGTGTAGCAATTATAAAGAAATTGAAAAGTTCAGGGAATCAGAGAAAGTCAGTCTTTCCCATGCGATTTCTGCGAAAAGAGGGGGATCAGCGTCTATATGGGAAGACTCCTTTGGTAAAAGGGAGACTGAATTGACCTCGGTAGGTGGAGTAGAGGCTTCAGGAACAAGTGGCATAGGTAATTGGAACATTATCCGGCGAGCTCATTGGGTACGAAGGCTGAAGGCCAAGAGATCTTCGCTAGCGTAGAACACATTCCTGTTCTCGCCTAAAGCAGAGTCTGCTATCACCTATCTTCCATCCCCGATTACTCTCCAGCTCAGCTTTTTTTCAAGTGACAGTGATCCACAAAGTCATTACAGTGCAATGATAATACTTGCATGGTCCCTTGAGTTGCGATTTTTAATGATTACATTGCTGCAGGTAGTCGGGAGCGAACTGTCCTCCCATCGCATTCAGCGAAATCCGGAGTAAGTCCTGCATGCTCGGGGAGGAAACCTTTGGAAGGACAGTGTCCTGACACGACTGCTGTAGGCAGGCCGGGTTAGAAACCACGAAGACATTGTGTATCAGAATTCAGAAAGGGGACAAACAGGGTCTAGGCGCCACGGCTATTGTAGCAGGACCTCATATCAATCGGAAAAAGTAAAGCATTAAAGAACAACCTTGCCTCGACATCGCGTAATTTGGGGGTTTTTCCCATGAACGAGGCGTGAGGCTGAAGCATTTGTAATACTTAAGCAGAAACATGCCAATAAATAAAAAAGACTTCATGACGGAAAAAAATAAAGGGAAATGGAAAGGATTCATCTCTACAAGCCTATTCCTCTGATCTGAGTGAACTATATTTCGAAAAATCCTGGAATCATGTTTATCAGAGGGTGGAAATCGGAAAAGTAGTCATAGAAGGGAATTTTCAAGTTTCACATACAACAAAAAAAAATAAAAATGATGAGAGCTTACAACAAATGGTAGCTCACCTTATCAACCCAGGAAGAACCACATTGCACTTCATCCAGCTTCACTGGTAGATTTCTTTCCTCAATATCTCTCAAGATATTCTGAGCTTCAGCCATTTCCGGTAGCGTGGAGTTAGCGATCTGTCAATTATACTGGTAGAAGTTGAACAAAAATATTTACTAAGCCAAACCTCATTTCATGATATAGTGATTATCTTAAATTTGTTTGTACAATGGATCACTCACTTCTTTTAAAATGGAATCGCTAGTTTTGATAAATGCTCCTAAGTTTTGAGGCATTTCTGACAGCGAATAGAAGCGGCCATCATCGCCCATGTATCTCAAGTGTCTGTCTGCCAGCCTCAAAGCCCTCACAACCCTGAAATCACCTATCATTCCATCCAAAAATAGCAAACCCTCGGATTAGTTTGATCATCAATGTTTCAGTAGCACTCACATCTCTTCGATTGCGCGCACAACTCTGTGCCGGTATAGAAGATTATGTAGCTTCTGGCGAGAGTCTCCAATAGACAGGACAACATCAGCTATCTGCAATCATCCTATGCACTCATCTAGAACCCTATAGTATGTATCTCGTTTTACTTATCGTGCCACGTTGTTCGAAGAGGGAGCTGAGTTGCAGAAATTTTAACAGGACCGAACCTTTTCGGGGTAACATATCCGTGGAAATCCACGTTCTGGGTCAGAGAGGACTCTGGCGTTTTCCATCAGTTGCTTGATGCTACGCTGAAATGGGAAAGGTTATCATGTGTAGATGGGTAATTTCAATTCAGCTCTGTAGAGTCAATAGAAAGAAAATTTCGATGGTGGTCTTTATGAGGTCATTTCTGAATTCCTACGGGATATGTTTGCTCATTCATCGCTTGGAAGATTTTTTTCCCGAATTTCTACCTTTAATGTGGAAAGGGGGAGTCGCAGAATAGGGGGGACGGTCAAGTCGTGCGTCCGAGGGCGAGCGCGGCAAATTGCGCGGCGAAATTCATACCCTTTCTGACGAAATTAGCACTTGTTGTTTGGGCCCAATTTTGAAGTACAGTAGAATAGTAGGATCAGCTGACCTTACTAATCTACCCTACTTCAGTTTTGGGCCTCAAGGATAGGCGCCGGAGTCGTCCAAATTCGCCACGAACTTCGCCGCGCAATCTGCCGCGCGCACCCTTGAACGCACGACTTGACACACACCCGCAGAAGAGGGGCCTACTGTCGGGGAAGGACACGACTTAACAGGTTATCGTATGTCAAGGGACGGTGTCGCGGCAAAACGCGACGTTACAGGTTTGGTCATGGTGGCGAACCATTGGAAAAGGGCTGGCAGGGAACGCCTCGAGCCGTGCTCATGTGTGCTCCCTATCTCTCTCTTAATATCCTGCAATCTATGGGAAAGCCTTCAATCTAATCTATAGGTTCCTCTATTCTTATTCTTACTTTGTGGAGCTATGTGTCTATTATTTGCCTGTCCATCGACTCAGCCGGGAGCTTGCATTCGAGTGACTGGAGAGTATTTGGAAGGCGATTCGGGACAGCTTTCAAAGACAACGATCCTCGTACAGTTTCGTCACTCCGGGATAGCCTGGCAAGCCCCAGTCAACCTGGCCCCTACGTTACAGCCTGGCAAGCTGCACGTTGGGTATCTACTCAAAAAACAACAGTAATACCTCATTCCTCTAGACCTAAGGGAGCTTCCATCACGGCGGCATTGGGTAGGACCGCTCGGGAGAGGCTGCTGAAATTTCAGGGCCAAAACAGGCAGCCCAAAATGAGAAGGACTAATATGGCAATCTGCACTTTCGACGCACGGACGCTTGCATCGGAAGCGTGTCTAGAACACTTGATGATGCAAGCTAAGACGATCAAGTACGACGTCATCGGACTGACCGAGACGAGAAGGCATCGCCCGCTGCACGCTGTGCTTGAGACTAGAGAGGAACTGTTCTTTGAAACATGAAACAGCAGTGGTGTCGGCGGCGTAGGTGTCCTCGTCAACACGCACTTGGCCATGAGCATCGATTCTTACGAAAGTTCAACAACACGAGTCGGACGTTTGCGATCAAGAAGATGTGGCTCAACCCCAACTAACTCTAACCATCTTTGATGCCTACGCACCAACATCGAGCTACAAAGAAAAGGAGTTGGAGGCGTTTTATATGAAGCTAGAGAGGCCCTACAGAGAAGACTACACTTTCTTCAATCGCCGGCGAATCGAACGCCAAGATTGGCCCCAGAAAAATGGCTAGAGAGCTCCTTACCGGGACTCACGGAATGGAATGGAATGAGCAGGGTGAAAGGCTGACCGAGTTTATCGTGTCGGCCCACCATCCACGGCATGGCAACTCGCAGTTTCAGAAGCCCTCTCGTTTGAGATGAACATGGGAGTCATTTGGTGGACAGCTTCATAATGAAGTAGACCACATTATCATCAGTCGGAGATTTTGCCTGACTGACGTCGCTGTTGTTCTAGTCGGGATTGGACCGCCGTCTCCTCCACGATAGATTCTGCTTCACAGTACGTGGAGAGTGAGCTATGAAGTTTGAGAAATGAAGCCCAAAGCCCCCAGCAACTGGGACCACTTCGCTTCCTTTGCGTGTGAATGGGAACATTCCGTTATCGACAACGTCGATGAAGGATACAACCATCTCGCCGAACAACTTCACGATAGTGCTAGGAAAGCAAAGAGTCTATAATTAGTCAAGAGACGACTCTGTTCAAGACTCTCGAGCTGAGACGGCAGCGTGGAATCGCGCGAGTACAGGCAAGAATCAACAAATGTCCGAGCGTGCGAAGCTATGCAAAGATTGAAATATCACGAGAGAACGAAACACCGTTGTGTCTTACGTTCACCGATTTGAAGAAAGCCTTTGTTACTGTTGAGCCAGAAACGGTAATTGAAGACCTGGGCAACCAGAGTGTTCCTACTCAACATATAAGAATGTTCGTGAGCTCTAAGACAACTTCACGACTAGGACTTCAGACTCACCATTCTGCAAGGAAGACATTATCAAACTTAAGCGAATTGTCCGGCAGGGCGATACCATTTCGCCCAAACTTTTCAGTGCCGCTGAATGCCTACGTCATTTGGAATGGGAAGAGTTGGAAGTGAAGGTCGACGGCCGTTACTTTCATCACCTCCGCCTTGTAGACGACGTGCTTACAGTACGAACATCGAGCAGGCGGAATGAATGCCGGCCGAGTTTGATAATGCCTGTGAAGAGATCGGCTGGCGGAATTAACGACGACGATTTTCATGAAAAAACGGATTGGTACCTGATGCTTGCTCCCCGCTGAATGAACATATGTATATCTCCGAATGCTCTAGCTCAACGCGCCTTGGGGAGGACATTGCTCGGAATTTCCCTATACACGCAAGTACAGAAGGGAATCCAGAGTTCCAAGCCCGTCTTCGAACGAAGATAGGGATGCCGTTGAATACGCTAAGAGTTCAAAAATCTGGTTTGCCGGACACGTTATGCGATGACCGTTGGACCACGGCGATAAATGACTGGATCTCTCGGGACATCGAACGAGCTCCAAGACGGCCGCCAACGAGATGGTCAGACATGCACACGAAAGCTCTGAACGAAAGGAATGTCGGAGCCCGAGTCTCTAAGCGAAGACGATTCACTGGACCACTCTGGCTCGCAGTGACAGGGACGAACGGAGACGTTACTGGCGCCTGCTCGGGGAAGCCGAATATCAACAACAGATGATACAGGTGATTTGCCTGTGGGAGAGACCCGAATTAATGTGCAGCACACTCCAAAATGGGAGCGAACGATCTGTTATGTGATCTGTCTCTCATAGTGAGGAATGCAAATCAGAAACAGCTAACAAAAGTTGAGCAAAAGACTTGTGCCAGAAAAGCTGAGGATTAGCTTGTATGGTTTCGCAGGCATAACTATTTGAGAGAGCGCGTACAATCCAAGTTTTTTGAAGGCTTCCGTGATGACGGGTATTAAATAGTTTCCTAGCGGTGTGCCTTTGAGTTCAAACCTTTAGACTGGTGTTAATAAACCTGATTAAATGGAATTGGAATGCCGGCGCTGAGTGAATCTCTGATGAGATAGTCGAACTTGCCTACATCACAGGAATCATTTTCATTCGCAACGATATCATATAGGAACGCTTTTTCCACAGGACGATCACCAGGTAGCCATTTCCCGTTTGCATCCTATAATGGCACTTATTTGTCTGTTCACACAAATTTTCTAGAGTGATTAAAAGAACACGCTTTGCCCTCACGAATCTTTCAGACGATATGAGCTTTTCAATGAAGGTCATGTTCTCATTGCTCTCATCGAAGTCGGCACCTGTCCCGAAATATCTTTCCAAAGCCTTACGAACCTCTTCTTTCTTCACGATACGTTGAAGTAATCGAATCGATAAAGATTTGTACTGAAAGTAAAAACATCCATTGTATATACTCCAAAAGTACTCACTACAATGTACTTTAACCCATATGAGAGAGATCAGGCTAATCAGATGTTCATCTTCAGATGCGGTAAAGAACTGGGTTGCTAGGTGGAATAAACTAAAATGCAGGGGTTCTTCGCTCGCACCCGACGCAATGCGCTTTTGCCTCCAGTCTGTCGGGAAGAAAGGGACGAAGAAGACGTTGCCTGGTCTTCAGAGTGCGTCGTGCATTTTGATAGCAATAAAAAAGGGCGAGATACTCGACACGTTCATATGTGATTACTTGCTGCTTCTTTCGAGCAAACGAGTGACCGAGTTGACACTTTTGTCGTGAAAGCAAGCAGGCACTCAACTCATGATTCAGTAGAGACGAAAGAGTTAGGTGGCAAAATCATTTTACCCAGTTGAAGAAAAGGGTGCGATAGGAGCTCTCCCTGTTGATTACAATTTGACAGTAAACAACGTCTCTAGAATTTTAACCGCATAATTTGAAGTAATTGTAAAAAAATGCAAAAAAGGAAGAAGTAGAAAATGTTATTTACATTTATCGTAGGCTCAACTGCTCCTTCTGATTCTGGAAACGCTTCATCGAATAAATGTGAAAAAGGTCCGTGGCCTGCAATCAAACGACTTTTCCTGAAGAGACCATCGTTCTGCAAGTGTCCTATTATCTTCATACTTCTGTTTTTTCTATTTTCCCATTCTTACCTAGACCGTGGCAAAGAGCTGCTAGAGACACGCAGAGATGATCTTGTGCCGTTATATTCAGTGATGGATTTCGTCTAAGAATTTCAACAAATTTGAACGCTAGCCAATACATCCTGAAATAGATTCCCTTTTACGATGGCTATGTCAGCAACGCTTCAATGATCCGAAGAACTTACCCTAAACTATGTTCAAATCGACTATGAGTGCTACAAGGATAAACCAAGTATGCGACTCCCAACTGCTTGATATCTCTGAGCCGTTGGAATTCTCGGGTGTCAATCACTAAATCCAATGGATGAAATATCGTAATTGTACCGTGGACCGTGTCTTGGATTTCGTACTTCTGAAATTAGATCGAAAGTGATTGAAGGATTGGTTCTGGACTTTTTCTGACCATTCAAGAGGACTCACATCGGAAAGTAGAGGCCATTCGAGTAAACTACCCATTGTTAACTTCTTTCCTAAAAAGGAGAAAAGACTTTAACAGCTATACTAGACATACTAGAGCACTTTTTGCTAGAGACAGATTCAGTACATCACATTCGTTTCCACCAATAAGTAAGCTATTTAATTTACTGATAAGGTCAGGATGGTTGAACAAAGACAGAAAAAAACTATTTCATGGTTGCTATGGAATATATGGCCCATTTCACATCTGGCAGAGAGCAGAGATAACTGAAATAGGACTAAAATGGGGTAAGTGTTAAGTTCTTTTGAGGACCCCTAATTGAGATAGGCGCTCGTGTGCGTGCTTAAAGAGCGGTGCTTCCAAAAGGTCCGGGAGGGTCCTGCAGAGCAGGAGAAGGATAGGTTCTCGAACAACTTTTGCATGCAAACAAGAGTATTGAGGGTGGGCAGCACTGCTTCTTACAACCATCTTCATGAATCGTTGGAAAAAACGTTTGTCGTGAAAAAGGTTCTTCCTTACATTGACAATTCAGATGATGGTGATTCGCTATTCAGATGGCATATTCGTTGCCGAGGGATTAGAATAGCGCTCTGTCGGGCTTTGATAAAACTTAACTTAGGGTAACCATTCATTGCTGAATTTGAAGATTTTGAGCAAGATAGCATCCTGTCAGTCTTAACCCATCATGAAGTTGCTCGATAAACAAGTGTTCTACGCGTTACACAAGAAGAAACTTTAAAAAGCGTTTCAATTATTCGAAAGATTCTTCTAACATTCTTTCTCCATCAAATAGTCTATGGCCCAGAATACCTTGGAACAACTTGCAGACTGACGACAGTGAATGTTTCTGATAGGATGAATAAGCGGACGCGGATACTTTAGGAGAATGATCAAGAATATTCTACTTTACATGATTCGCAAAGAGTGTCTCTTGTGTCTGTTGATGTGTGTGTGTGTGTGTGTGTGTGTGTGT